CTTTGTGGCACCGAGTGCTGAGGAGGCAGTCAAAGCCCACCAAATTCAACCTGCCCATGGTTACATGACGTCCTCACCCGTCACACACGCACATCCCTAGCTCAAAAATCCAAACTCACTAATATCGATTTTACTGACACAGCTGTGTTGAAAAACTGCTATCACTACGCCCCTGCTGCTCTCCCGCAATCGATTGTATTCACCTGAGGGCTTTGGAAGTAGCAGCAACACCACTGTCCGGACAGTTATCGCATTCTTTCCAAACATACTTGGATAAGCAAATTGTGCCTACCATGTGGAAATATGGATTACGCACTGCAATTTTCAAAATCGGTACTCGCTCAGAACCCGCCATCTATGGCCCAGTGGTCCTCCTACCTGTGCACTCCAATTTGATGGATGCAATCATCGCCGAGGCTTTAGTGCAACACCAAGAATGCTCCAACGTCATTGCACCCGAGTAACATGGTTTTCGCCAGCACCGTTTATGCACTACCAAATTACATTTTGCACACAGTAGTTGAACGGAAGCGGCGGTTGAAGGTAGATGGAGAGACGTCATTTACCTCGACTTCTCCAATGCCTTCGATCGACTGGAACAAGGCATGCCGCTTCACAGGCTCGAAAACTATGGAGTTGTTGATCCTGTCCTTGGGTGGATAAAACATATCCTGCAGGACCGGCAACTGCATGTCAGAGTTCGAAATGCGCTGTCCGATCTGATTTATTTCGAGTTGGATTTCCACAAAGATCACTACTGGGGCCGCGGCTGTTTCTCGTGTTCATTACTAGCTTACGCGTTTGATTGTCTCAGATTTCATGCGGTTCACGGATGAGGTTACAATATGGCGGACGATCGCCGATCCAGCAGATTACCATGCACTTCAGCAAGATCTGGAGGGAGCGCATGAATGTTTACTCCACAATCTGCTCCAGCTTAAGTCGGGAAGTGTAAGGTGGTTCATAATTGTTACCAGCCGAAAATCCCTTACAAGCTTTGAGACCATGTCCTGTAGATAGTCAGCCAGGAGGGCCATCTTGGTGTACAATCCGAGGCTGATCTGGGCTGCTCAGAACAATCTGAAAAGTGGGAGCAGTCTGGAAACCATCTGTTTGGCATGCTCCGGAGGAAATTTCGTCGTCTCTTTTCTATTGTCTGTTCGCAGTTGCTTACCTACGTGCGACCTCATGGTGAATACGCAATCCACGCGGGGCAGTCCTGGCAAAGCGTGACCTTGCGGGGCTTGAGATACCACAGCGACGAGCCATGAAGTACGTCAAAGGGTTGATCAACCTTCCTTATCAACTTAGACTGAGGACCATAAAATTATACAGCAGCCGGTACCGACGCCTACGTGGCAACCTTATTATGGCCTATCAGATTCTAAAGATCCCCAACCACGTATGACGCCACCTACCACAGCTGAGCAACCATGGGAATTTGAGGGGCCACCAGTACGAGTTAGGTACGCAATACAGTCGGTTGGAATGTCGACGGAACTTTTGCTCTCTTCGTGTGTTTCAGCCATTGAATGCCCACCCAAGTTACGTTATTTTGGCCCCAATTTGCCCGTGTTTATAAAACGTTTTGATGTTGCACTTGCCCACCTACATTACTAGAGACAGTCTGTTTGTCTCGACAGACGATATAATGCGATGAAAGTTGCACAAACTGGATTAACCTACGGGAATGAGGTCGGCCCGTTCTGCATGCCTCTGTGTTAACATTGTGCTGAGTTCAACAAAGCGATTTTCTTGGTAACACTGTTTTATATTCGCCATGTTATGGTTCTCTTTCTGGTCATCCTACGGGACTTGCTAAGCTTCTGCTTTTTGTCCATATCATTTCATTTTTCTATTGTTCCATTGAATTAATTCTGAACATGGATGGAACTGCTGACGTACCATTAGTTTTGCTTATCATTATCCGTCGCATTAAAGGCCGCTGTCGCTGTCGCTGGCTGAAAATATTAGCAGTTACATTCGCTGCCTCACTTTATATTGGTTATACGATTAAAAGTTAGGGTCAGTATCCTCAACTCTCCTTAGGGAAAATCACCGCGTTTGTGTAACTCCTTCCGGGTTGCTACGCCAACTGATTTTGCCTGCTTATGTCTTATGCATTTGGAATGTGTTAAATATGTTATAGGAACTTGTTAGGCCGTGTTGACCTGCATCGCAATATGAGCATGGTGAAATCAGTCAATTTGTAAAGCAAACCCAGACATGAGAGTGCTGTTGTTGAGACGGTTACCGTGACCTCGTTTGAGCATTAAACACTCTTGTGACACTAGGCCGGCCCCAGACTGTGGTAAACAAGTTTGTAATTGATCAAATCACCATGGCAACCAGAGTGCTACAAATGCTGTGTCAATCAGTGTAAACCAGGATACTTACTGTCACTCAAGAACACGAGACCAAGAGAAAAAGCAGTTAGGACATTTTATGCACGATAGTCAAATCTCATGGGGTATGCCTAATGGATAGTGCGCTCAGTTTCAACATCTCAAAAGAGAGAGGGTTGAAGGCGAAACCATAACCGCAAATGCAAATGATGATTTTATCACATGGTTTCCATGGCGGTCGTTCATTTTGGAGTTTCCTGATATCGCTCCGATTGTCTGTGAGTATATGTGAGGCGATTCATTAGGTTGTTCGGGACGCACCGAGTCGAATTTACTCATTATTTCCCGGCTCTTGCGGATGCGTCGCAATCCGTCAGACGAAATCCGGTGGAATATCAGCAGAATCTTGGATGTACATTCCTGCTTTTATTCTTCTGAATATACAGATTCCAAGTTGTGGACATCCCAGCATGCTACGTAAGTAAATGGATGCAAGCTATCACTCTTGAGATGCATATTTCCACTGACGACTCGGCAAATAAGTTTACCTTACCAGTTCATGGAGAATTAAATGAACCCAATCAAAACCCCGCTACCCATGTATCGTCGGACATGTCCCCTTCGGTTAGCGATAATAGGTTCGTCGACCGAATAATCAAGCAAGCTTTACGGCGCATAATTAATCTAGTTAAAACTAATATCTATATTATTTGACCCCAATATCGTTCCTTTTACGCACTATTCAAATATAAGCGAGGCGCTATGGTTGTATACCACCTGATTGCTTCGTAGTTCTTGCATGAGAACAAACATGCTTGCTTAAATTGTATGTAGACACGAGGAAAAAGAAGCATTAGCACCGCCTCCACCGATATCCATTCGACTAGACAGTGTGTGACCTGCAGCTCTAGGTAACATTCAATCCATTCGGACTTGTTTACCGCACCTAAATTTGAGGCTGTTCGTAATACGGTTTAATGCCTGTCTGCGCACTGATGTTTTGGTACCTCCGATTCATGAATATATACACTGGAATTATGTGCAACCTAAGTGGTAAAATCTCATGTTTCGACTCTGAGTTTGTTTACGGCTGTGCGTCGGAAGTCGCAAAATCCTTTGTGACAAAGGTTAAGTGTACTTCCTATTAACTTGTGTTGGACAATGTCGAAGACACCTTTGGTGGCTCTAGTAATCATTGCCATATTTCCTGCAACGCTCTCGCTTGGTATCGCCTCGTAGTCAGGCCCAATATTTCGGTTCTTCAAACTGTACCCTGCGCCGAATATTGGATGATCGAATTAGGGTTGCCACCTGGGACAGTCGTCTAACTGTTTCTAATTCCCTGTACATTGAAGAATAGGGACCGTGCACACTACCCGCGAGTCCGAAAAATATACGGTGGTCTTTCGCGGGAGAGCTGTTACAGGCCTTAGCAAAGGTCAAGACGCGGTTTGTTCACCCTGGTACTTATAGAAATGTTAGCATTCTTATCGCAAACCAATTGTCAGTTTGACGCAGCTGCCGCCGCAGAACAGTACACGAAGATCTTTTGCAGAGCGACATAATAATCGAGGATATCGGTGTCCCTATGAGATCACGCAGCCGAGGATCTAGCACCAATGTCTCTAGGAAGAGAACGGGGATGCGGTAGTCCTACAAAGTTGACACGCATAATGCCATGTGTAAGCACCACACTTCAACATTATTGCGGACTTGCAGGTTGGAAAACGGCGTTCGTAGTAAAGCTCCGTGGAACTATGTAGTCTCCAGATTTGGGATTTGAGCTTTCTCGCCATTTTATAGTCTGTTACAAACTCGACGAGTGTACGCGATAATTAACGGGGCAAGTAATGCCTTAAACAGTCAGTACGAACTGCTCTCACTCATATGAAAGTTGCAAAAAGTGGTTGGCTATCAGTTGTATGTTAGAGTGGATCATCGACATGCGGTTAGGGAGTCCAAGCCTCTATTTCTCATTGTTAAATTGCTTTCCACATTGCTTGTAAATTTTGGACCAGAAAACATCACGGACTTACAAAGCAGTTGAGTCCATGATGAACCGTTTAATTCTAGCTAGGCCACTTTCATATCTGAATAAAATAAAAGTGACAATTTCAGCTGGTGACCATCTGCACTCATAGATTTGGGCAATTTTTCTCGTCTTTGATAATTTCATTAAACAATAGTAGAATGCGCTAAGGACACGGGAAGATGGTGCTTCGAACGCCTTCCGGGCATTCATTTGCATTTTGATTTTCAAAGGAAGGAATGTTTGAATTTCTTGCTAATAGGATTGACTAGGACAGCACTCAAGGTTTTCTTGTGAAGGCAGGCCTGCTGAATGAACAGCGTAGCTTTTTGCACAGTGTGAATGCGAGTGTATTAATTTGTGAACATCGCATCACATATTTCATTCAACTTAACATGTAAAACTATACGTTGCACACATCACTGCCGTACGGTGCTTGGCCGAGGTTTATCCATTTGCTTTATGCTAAGAACATAAGCACAACTGCGGGCAAGCACTAGTTTCACCGTTGTCATTTGCCTCACTTTAAGCGACAAAATAGGGTTCCTTTCTTAATGACTTCAGAAAACATATATCTAACCAAACTGAGTAAACTACATGCAGCCACGTTTTCTTTTTTCAACCAGTTGGCACGTCCCTTGCACAAGGTTGTCACAGGAGAAGAACTGTACGTGCCGGTGTCCGTGAGGAGTTTGTTTTTATGGCTGGGTGAGTATAAAAATCTTCTGATAACCTTTGTTTTGCCGTGAAAACGATCCCCTTGGCAACACAATCAGTATCATTCACTCATCATTCATACCTCACTGCACCTCGTCGCAAAGTCGTCTGTGTTTACATGCGGCACTTCTATTTTGGTAATATATCGATGGCCATCATGTTTACCGATTTGAAAAGTTGGGGTGGGTCGTTCAAAATGTTGATAATTGTTAGTAGCCTTAAACTTGAAAACCAACTTTTACCAAAATATTCAACCTGAATAATCCTGTTTGATTTTCCAATGCCACCTTTTAAAATGCGTCAAACTTTCGATTCACATACAAGCTTATCATCACAAAGTCATAAGTTTGCTCTCTTTGGGTGCTGTATCTTTACCTGCCGCTAGACTCCACGGGACGGTAGCCACCTTTGAGAGATGCACAAGATTTTTGTTCGAAGTCTGTTAAAATGGTAGATCGCTGCTCGCGTACATCTACTAAACGCAAACCACTCCAGAGATTGAAAGTGTATTCCTGAGCACAATAAGTCAGAAATGAGAGATTTTCATTATCGTTTTCAACTGCCTGCTTGCGTATGTGGGTAATCAGCGTCCAGGTGAGTGAGCTGAATGAAACCGATTCGTTAGAAGTCAGGAGGTGTGTTCTTTAAATTAGTAGAGACGAAACTCATGAAGTCGCTGTGAAAAGCTGCATTTGTTACCTATCATCGTAATTATATTAAGAGGTACCCGTTCTGAAGGAAAAAACTTTACACCTCTGCTCCTCTGCCTCATGTGAGCACTGCATGGTTCATATTAGACAGTCGTTGCGTGAATGGATTGCGAAGCGCTATCCAAGTCGGGGTGATGATTAGTTCTGAAGGGTGCCTCTCTCTAAGCGGGCACTATGATCACAACCGAGGCTGATGAAAACTATATCTAACTGAGGAATGCAACTAAATACAAAATCCGTCGTGGCGTACATTACTGTGGATGGGCAACTGTGTTCTCCTCCCAGAAATGTTCTTAATGTTGTCGTTCATGGGGAATATATTGCGTCCGTTGCATTTCCTAATTTACAAAAACGCTGTATGTGATTAGCTCAGACACACCGGCCCACTTTTATTTGTGGACATAAATTAGGGTATTCGCTTCTACCCGACCATCTGTAACTTTTTATAAAAATATACTCTTAGATCTATCATCCATAAACAGATGAAGAGAAAGGAAGTCTGTGAGTTTTTCGTCAAACGGATCTTGAGTACTGTGCCACAGATGCAGTATACCAAGGGGATCCATCACCCCATTCCTGCTATGTATTCCTTTCGGCACCTGAAGATTTTAGCGGCTCAAACTTACCGAAACACTTCCTACAAGTAGCGAATGTATAAGAACTCAAAAGCTACATCACTAGGTAATTTTCACTTTTCCGAACACGGCAGATGAAACTTGCTATACGAATGCTCGTTCCATGAAATCAGTATTTCTTCGTATTACCCAAACTCGCAAGAGTTGACAGACAACATTAAATGTGAGGGCATTACGGTATATTGAAAAATCATTCTAGGGAGGAAAAATGCATGCCCTTGTTTTCTCTGATGTTAGTAGTATTGTAGCGACATTCATTCTGTATACAAATAGATGCGTGTCACTTTCCGATAATTCAATAGCTTACGATGGAAACACAAAATATCCCGGTGATGAAGATGAATTATCAACAGTCTAGGCGCTGCACTTCTAATCGCTCTACCATTCCTCTGTAACGTTTATCAATCAGGTGAAAGTTTAATAAATAAAGCAATCTTTTCCCGACGAAATATTCAGTAAAAACGTAAACAGTGGGTCCCCTTCAGCCATTTCGTCAAAGCAGAGAGAAGACAGTGGTTACCATATGTCAACATCTCGATTGTTCTCTTCAGTCGTAAACACAATAGGAGCCGAAACACACAAACGATTATATACATGTAAAAAATAAGCAACACAAGTCAAAATGTCACAATCAAGGCCATGGCAACCGAATTGATTGCCTGAAGAGATTCTGTGCACTTAGCACAGGTTGATTGGCCTTAATTAACAACGCCTCACTAATTGCCAACATTATCGGGTTTTTGTTACGTACTAACACTGAACGCTGTCTCAGGGGTCACGTGATGACGGGTTGTCATGAGCTGCTCGGTGATAGACGATGCCGGTCTCCGATTAATCCTCAGATCCGTCCCATTTTGTTACGTAATCACTTGTCCCAAAAACCCTGGCAAATGTTCAGCTACTCTCTGAGCTAACTGACGATTTGTTCTGCCTATGTAAATGTCACCGTAACAGCAGGTGAACTGGTAAACAACAGAGGCCGAACTACCCGGTGAGATGCTCTGACGGTTATGAAGAACAAGTCCCTGCGTGATATGCCTGAGTCGAAACTCGGCTGTCGGGTAGGTGCGCGTTAGGGCGGCCCGGAGCTTGCGTCTGATATGATTCATCATATGGTCCCCCTTGAACGGCAAGAACAAAGTAACATCCTTTTTCTCAGCCGTCAACACCGGTGTTTTTACGCTGGAAGGTCTGCTGTATACTTGTATAAACTTCTCAGGATATCCACTAGAAATTAAGTTCTTGCGTAGAATTTGTTCTTCGGCTTTTATAGTTTTAGAGAAGCAAATACCTTTAACCCGGTAGAAGAGAGGTTTCACTAAGACGCGTTTGTATGCGATCGGGACGAAGCTTGAAAAATAAAGGTACTGTCCACTCCAAAAGGATTTGCGGTGATCATTGCACTGCAATGTACCTTCAGCCCGTCCCCTAATGAGTATACCCAAAAACGCTAGGCAACTCTGTTGGTCCACTTCATGGGATACCGACAGATTAGGATATCCCATCATCGCCCTTAAAAGATAGACTGGGCGTAATTTTAACGTTATGCACTGTGAGCTCCTCTTTCTCCTCTTACTGAAGTGAGCGATGAAAGCTCTACGCATCAAACAGCACTCATGTGCTGCGATACGCTGAGGCGGTTGCGATCAAACAGCATAATCCTAGTCTGTGTACAGAAGGACGCGTTCGTCACACTGGCTCTAGGTTGGTAGTAAACCAGTAGACAGACGCCACACGGACAATAATCTGTGTGCATGTGTATGTGTGACTACGTATGTAGGTGAATTTGCTACCTCAACTTTCTTCATTCTTCATGATGCTGTCAAGTTTCACGTGTTCTGGAGTACAGAACTAAAAAATATGCAGCGAAAATTGTCCGGAATTAAATCGTGCAGTGCTTTGACGTTAAGGTTTATAATGAATAATAGTTTTTCGAAGGTTTCGATGTGTGGTACATTCACTGCGCTTGCTGGCAATGCATCGATGTGTATACCACAGATTTGAAGAGAGCAAAATGTTTCTACTAACAAAATGGGTGTGTTGTCTTATTTGTTTCAGGTAGTGAACTTGGCATTGTTTGTAAGGAGTTAGCATTGCTGTGCATAGATTATGACTTTCTATTACTCTGCGCTGTGTCAATGAGTTCTCTACGAGTAAATGAAGACGCATTTCACAATTGAAACCTGATAGTCCATGTGTTACTTTGGTGACTATTCTTTGAGCCTGCTCCAAAAGGCGAATTTCTTGTTTTAACCATGGACTCCAGGCTTAAACCGCATGCTCAAAATGTAGACGAATATACGCTTTAATCCGTACGGGTACTAGTTGTCGCTCAAGGGCACCAATAGTTCGACTAAAAACACTGAAGTTAAAGTTCGTCACATTCGCTGCCCTCGAAAATTTGAGTTGACTGCCCAAAATCATTTGAACGATGATACCCAAGTCTCCCTTACTAGTCACGTGTTGCAGGACGTGCTGCCTCAAAACATACGCGTTGTTGAAGCTGCTGCGCAGTGTCAATAAATGGCACATTGCGGGGTTCAGTGTGAGTTGATTCATTTGTACCCATTCATAAATCCAGTCCAGATCTTTCTGATGATAGGCAAGCTCGGATGTCGTAGGAATAGCTCTCTAGATGTTAGCATAATCGGCAATACTTGCACAAGACATCGAATAATTGCTGCGTGAATAAGAAAAGTAGAAGGCTGAGGACGGATCCTTGCGGCACACCACTAAGACGCCCAGGCCTTCCGACTGCGTGGCAGCGATTCTTAGCTTGATTGCTCTGGTATGTAGGTAAACATCCAACCAGATAAGCCAGGACCGTCGATACTGTATGCACCAAGTTTTCGGAGGAGAACCACGTGGTTGACTCTGTCGAATACCTTCGAACAGTTTAAGTAAATCACCTATAGTTTGATTCCTTCGTTAACCGCCAAGATCCATTAATTCTGAGCAGGAATTAAGTTGGTAAGGCAAGACGGAATACGTCGGAAACCATGTTAGACAGTAAAAGTTATTTGCAGACGTTTAAAATATCACGTCAGTTCTTCTGCTATTATTAACTCCATCACTGCTGATTACACAGGAAGGAGATTAAGTGGTCGGTAGTTGGCAGGGTCGTATCACCTACCTGTTTTGTATATCGGAGCGATGATTTCATTTTTTCACTCAAATGGGGTGAATGGGAACCAGAGAGAATTAGGCAAAAGTTTCACCATGTGCTGTTATCTTGGAGGTAGGAGTTTTAAGTACTTTTGTTTAAATCTTGCCCATTTCCGGGGCAATGTTTTCTCAGATAGACTGCCGTTTTCTTGCGATAGCTGCTGGGGTAAAGATTATTCTGGATCAGCTGACGATATTTTCTGGAGAGTGATAGTGAAGTTCCTTGGTGCTCGTAGACACTGAGTAAATTTGCAGTGCATTGGCGGTCTCCACAACAGTAGTCGTTAGGCCACTGGCTCTCTTGATTGGAGATGTTCCATACTTAATCTTTCTTCTGTTATTTACATACCCGTAAAGCAGTTTGCTGTTGCTCCTAAACATGAGTACTATTGCCAATTTACATTCGTACTTTCCTACTCTAATGCTTAACCACAGTAGTTTTTAATCAGTTTGTAATTCTTCTGCGTGTTATCACATGAGCTTAGCATATGTTGTCTCAAAATCTCGTCTCTTCTACTGATC